GGCGGTTAGTCACCGCGGCTTCAACAGTTCCGGATGGGAGGTTTTTAGCTTTCGGGATGTCGGACACCACCAGAGTCGACGGATGAGTGTGTATCACCTCAATTAAACTATTCGCTAAGTGTCTGACAACAGCTAATATTCCTCTTCCACCAGCGGAGCCAATCGATGTTCTGGCATCCGTCACCCTGCTGGAAAAGCAATCATCCCGTTGCGTCGCTCTGGTTTTACGGGGAAATGGAAAGGCGCTCGTCTAGCTACTGCGCCTGCTAGCTGGCACGCGCCGGTGCTCCCTCACACAAAGGCACACACAAACACCGAAGCGTTGGCGATGAATGGATGCTTCGTTTCAGAAACTCCAGTGACACGTTTAAGCCTCGTGACAACTTCCTGACCACCAACGCCACACCGTTGTTTTTTCCTCACTTGGGAAAAGAGTATCGGTGCAGAGGCCCACACCACAAACACAGGAACAGCTTCGCAGAGTTAACCCACCTCTCTGTCAAGTAACGTGGGAGCTATAACTGTGACAATGTCTCCTCTTTCTGCGTCAATGTAGAACATGTTCGGTGAAGGTTTGTCTGGAGACTGTTTGACGATGTTGTAGCGCAGAACGGCGTTGTCTGTGTTCGGGTCGTCAGCGTCAAACGCCGTCATTGTCATCACTGTGGTTCCTGGGGATGAGATTAAAGGACCAGGCTGAGTCAGAACTGAACATTTGTCTTTACTCACTAAGAAATGAGCAAATAAGAACAAGAAGAGAAACACGTTTGATTAAAATACCCTGAAATCAGGTAAACATTTGGCAATATGTTAAGCTACAGGAGTCACAGGAAGTCTACTAAATTTTTATTTTTACAATTCTTCTTTTTCCAACTGTGAAATGTATTTGTCATGTAGTCAAGTTCTGATTTTGACTGGTTAAAGCTGCCAGAAAAGCATCAGGATCCAGAAACCTGCAAGAAACACTAGTGGAAGGTTAACAGACACTAAACTAAGGAACAAGTGGACGTTACCGTCACACGGGGAACAGACAGAGCTGGGAGGAAACACTATCAATGCAATTACATGGGAGGAAGTAAAAGTGAATACAAATCACAGAAGACAATTAACCCTTTAAGACCTACCATAGAACCAAGTCCGCCAGAGCTTATATTATAT